ATGATGACAACGACATTGCTGACCGTGTGGAACACATTATGGACGCAGCCAGTGAGATCATCAGAGACTACTGTGATTGAGTCAATATCGATCAATAATCGATGGCCTCATACAGATAAAGCTGTATCATTGATAAAGAAGCTATTCAGTGTTGTTCTTATAAGCAGCTGTGAAAAAGGGGAGGTGGGACTAAGACATGAGAGCGATGCGGAGGGAGGGAGAGGGATTCCAGCAAAATACCATTCCCCCCCCAATACGTACATGTCATGTCCTGGTATGACCCCATCACTCTCCCATTCTTCATTCTAGTTACCGTCTCCCTAAGCTCCCTCAACTTTTAGCAGTACCCAGCTTTTCTGTTATTCTTCAAGTATTTTCTCCCCAAAAATTTGCGGTCGAGTGGAAAAAAGGCAGGACGCGGAGGAGGATAAGTGGGCGGGGCGGGGGGTGGGGGGGGAGGAGATGCATGATGCACAATGTGATATAGGTGAAACACAAAGACAAGAAAGCCATTTAACAAAAACTTTTTTTACGATGGCGAGAACAAACCCCCTTTCTCCTGCGATCGAAGAGAGTCTCCAGATCCCTGACGTACTACGTGCCCCAGGTGTGAGTTTATAGGGTTCAAAAAGCCCATGGCCTATCTACGGAACCCGGTTTGAGTTGGCTGTCATCCACTTGCCATCCACTTTATATCGACTGATTAGCAGTGTAAGTGATACAGTCTAATCTTTTGCAGTGTTTTATCATACATGTGGACACTTCACAAAGTAGGTTTCTGTACATACAACTTATCGATCCTGACATCTTTGCGCTTGCCTCTGGCTTATCTGTTTTTCTCCGCTGTGCGGGCCTCGTTTCCTGTTCATCGATCAAGTGCTACCCTGTGCAAATTCCCAAACTGGCTGGCACGAGGCGCTATTTTTAGACCAAGACTTTTCAGCCGGGCGTCCAGGTCAACCGGGAGATCTTACTAATAAGTCCCTAAAAGCACTTTCACCGATCGCTCGGCCGTTATAATATGACATTCCATGGAAACGGGGAATTCCGGAGAAAATTCATAAAACTTGTCGAGTCAGTGAAAATTGAGAGAAGTTTTTTGGTGTTGAAGTGAGATCTCTGTATCTGCTGTATCTGCACGCTAAACATCTACAGGTGTGGGGGGGGGGAAGACACTTCTCTCCATAAGAATGTTGAGATATTGACAAAAATCGGAGCCGGACGGGACTCGAACCCGCGTCTCCCGCTTCCCGGACAGTTGCGATATCCATTCAAAACTCCAAAACTGAAACACTCTCCTTCCTCGACTTTTAAATCGATATAAGTTACACTTTATTAACCCTAGTTGGACATTTTCACCATCAAATTCAACAACTCATTGTACACTATCACGATACTCCACCACAGATGATACTCCACCTTCTGGACGAACTTCGGGATGACAGAGATTCTGCCAGTGATTTGGCCTGATTTCAGCAAGGACGTTGATTTCTCCGCCACTGTAGATCATGATCTTGACTTCCTCCCGAACCCGGACATTGAGGGGGTTTGGATCAGGTGACTTTCTTGGACATTCCATTTTCTTCAGGTTCTTAACGCCCTTTGATTCCAAGTAGGCTAGAGTTTTTTCTACGCCCTTCGATTCGGTGTGCTGGCACCCAATCCTGTAGCAGTACGAAGTTTCCAAGAAATTACAGGCGATGAGATGAAGTCAGGATATTCTCCTCGAGTGGTCGATGTACAGCGTTCGTTTTCAGTTCGGGGTCCACGAAGTAATCACCGGTCTTCCCATTACAGGCTTCCCCGAGTAAATACATCAGCCAGCGCCTTGGCGACTGTGATGTAGATGATATCCAAGGCTGTAGCGGAGCGGAGCTGCTCGATGCTGGAGATCCTCCAAATCGAGAGTGCCGGTCCTCAAGTAGCTTCCATGGGTACACTCTGAGAAGTTTTGCAGCTGTTGAGAGGTGAAGCAAACTCCAACAGCCTTTTTCATTTCGGGTGCAATTGGAGATGGCTGTATATTTTTCGCTGTAAATAAAGGTGATGAACAGAGCCTGCTCCTGCTTGTTATTTGCGGACGCAGTGTATCTGCGCTTAAAGGCACTTTCCGCGATAAAATAAGGCTATGACCTCTCAAATGTGTCGGACGATCCGGAAGGCGATTTTTGAGGCTGCGCTACTTTCAAAATGTGAAAAATCGGCAAGAACTCCGCTGAAAGCTGACTGATTAGGCCCATGGACACCCCCCCATGCCGACCCCAACCGGGCTGCTAGCTATAGCTAATAGCCACAGTGGTATCTTCTCTTCATAACATTTCGGACTGCTTTTTCTGCTGCTTTTCTCCGCTAGTCAGATACTTAGCACTTTTTCGTTCATATTTGGAGTTCCGTTTCCCGCAATTTGCGGTCGCGAGCTGTGCCTTTAATAATTGGAAGATCACAATCGACAAGTGCATCAGTTGAAGTCAGACGAGCCGTGTGAATGCGATAGCTGAGACCTCTGAATTAACTAGCCTGGTGGCCTTTATACGAAAGGCTCAGGTGGAGTTTGCAGAAAATAATTGTTCGCAAAAAATTTTGTTCAATGAGAGATTAGCGCTCTTGGATCGTCAAAGGCATTTAGACCTGACTTGGGTCTTCGATCTCGACAAAGGCCCTGATTTGTCGTGCTTTCGTTAGTTCTAGCAGGGTAAACAGAAGTAAAGAGATTCATTCGATTTGACCGTTGCTCTGCCCGTTAGGATCTTGAAAGCCATCATGAGGTTATACTGATCGATCTTCTATCAAAGAGACTAGGTAGGCCGTAAAGATGCCGTCTTTCCACTGCGCGCTTGGGCAGAGAGTCATAGCTCATTCCGAAGCATCGGAGGGCAACTTCACGAGCAAGGCTATTTTGCACACTTTCCAAGAACTTAATATCCTTTTTTTTATAGGGGATTGCTGAAGTCACAATGCCCACTGCGGTCTAAAGTTAGGAATTTATACGCCTGCCGCAATATCTTGTGAGATTTTCTTGAATTCAGTGGGCCTTTTTTTCCCCCGAAGAGAGTATAAATTCTGTTTTTAGTTTTGGAAACCAGTGACTTATAATGTGCTTCAAACCCTAGTTTGTTGGAGAACGTGGAACAAAGGTTCTTTATCTCTTGAATTGACTCTAAAAGTTACTGATTTGGTACGTAGCTGCACACGTTCATTTTCGATCCTAAAAAATTTGGTTTTGTCGGGAGCCAGGGTAATCCCCATTCTCGACCAAAATTTGTACAATATGATCAATAGCTCTACTGGCAAGTGTCGTCGCAGTCGGACGCACTTTCAATAACTTTGTACAGTTTGATAACATCGGGGAGGTAGAGAGGCAGGCCGTATAAGCAATAAACAGTAAAGGTGAGAAAACTCCACCATAAGGGACGCCAGTACTGATCGCATACTTCGAAGAAAAGCTATCCTCGATTTGTAATTGAGCCAGGTCGATTGCCAAAGCAAACGTATTCCAATTCCAGCGCTCTAGGCACGCATCAAATTTCGAGCTTTTCCACACATTTGCACGTGAGCTTGCCGGTCATACCCCTACTCGCAACGCCTTTTGCAAAGGTCAAAAAGTATACACTTGCTAAGGGTATTTCTGCGATCAAGCTGCCACTTTAAGGGGCTCCAGTCATTTGTAAGGGTAGTGAATGCAGTTTCTTGTTGATTTACCCCTTACGGAGAAACCCGTGCTGCATTTGTTAGGGAATAAAGACTGTTATGGGTGGAAATTAACTAGTACCTTACCTTTTCTATTTTTTCGACAAAGCCGCTCGCGACAAACAGAATGTGACATTTATGGGTCGATAGTTGGAAGGATTGCTAAAGGGAGGCTTCTTCGGAACTGGAACAATGAAAGAGTGTCTCCACCTTGATGGGACTTCCGATCTCATATATGACAAATTAAAGAGTAGTTCCAAAGGTAAAGCAAGACAATGCGCAGTCCTTTTGATGAGATGAAGAGGTATAAAGTCAGGTGTTACCGAATGGGAGTTAGGCCATTTTGAAAGCAAGTCAAAGATCTCATCTCTGTGAAACCATAGATCTGGACTTTCGCGAAAAGTCCTTGAAATTGTTCTGCTAGCATCTCCGCATTTTCTCCATCAAGTATGACGATTTTTGACTGACTGGTACGCAAGGCAGGAATTTTCTTGGGTTCATTGAGGCGTTTATTAATGTATGTGAATAACTTTGTGGAGTCCCCTGACTCGACAACCTTCTTTTCCAAATAGGCATTATATCTAAGCAACCGCCTATTGAGCCTGCTGTCCAAATTCTTATACAGGGGGGGGGGCAAAAAAGTCACTTTCTTCATTGACTTTCGAGGCGCTATAAGTTACACTTTATTAAATTCTGATCGGACATTTTTACCACCATATTAAAGAGCATATCAAATACTATTTCTCCGCCACCGTAGCCTATTGAACTCCGCCCGAACCGGGTAATTGAGGGGATTCAGGTCAGGTGACCTACTTGGATATTCCATCTTCTTTAGGTACTCAGCCCCCTTCCATTCCAAGTAGGCGAGTGTTTCTCCAACGCCCTTCGATTTCATGTGGTGGCACTCAATGCTGTAGCAGTACAAAGTTTCCAAGAAGGTACGGGCGACCACATGTGAGGAGGATATTCTTCACGAGTTGCCCAATGTAACCGCCAGCGCTCACCTTCAGTCCGGGGTCCACGAAGAAAATATTGGTCTTTCCATTCCAGGTACGTCCGGTCCATACCATCAACCCGCGCCTTGGCGACTGCGGTGAAGATGATGTCCTAGACCGTGGCGACGTTGTCGGAGCTGCTCGATGTTGGAGGTCATCCAGATCGAGAGTACTGGTCTCCAGGTAGCTATCCATGGGTGACTCCATACTAGAAGTTTCGCAGCTGTTTGGAGGTGACATGAATTCCAAAGGTCTTCTCCAGTCAGGCTGCGACTGGAGATGACTTCATGAAGGTGATGGGCGAGAGCCAGCTCCTGCTTATAGAGGAACATCTTGGGTATCTTCCGCCCTGGTACTCGTATCCACGTCCTCTGTCTGGGCAGCGAAAACTTTGCTGATATGTGACTCGGTCGAAGTGACTTTTTTTGCCCCCCCCCTGTAATACTGGTGACATGAACTGCGATCGCTACACATGCGATCGCTACGCTCAGCTATGGCATAAGACCAAATTTTCCTAAATGGCAACTGTCGCACCATCCATCATCCAAAGCAAGTTCGACTCGTCCAGATCATCGAACTACTGGGTTTAGCAGACCTCCCTTCGATCACATACCAAAGCACGGCTTGGTTTTCAGCTTGGGGGCACCCTTATAGTTACTTAGTTTCTTTCACTGGTTGGTGTTGACTTACTCGGTATTACTCACCTTACCTCGGTAGGAACCTGTTAACACTTGTTAAAGGCATAAGGCACGATGACTTGGTACTCGGTCTAAAATGGTAGCAGGGGTGCTATATAGTGGGGAAAATGGCGAAAAAGGCGACACGGTCGAAGCCTGGGTAAAAAGTAAGCAAAGCCGTTTGCTCTCTACGCCCAAGCAAGCATTTCAGAGGGCGTTTCCTTGAGATTCGTGCTCATAACCGCTACAGTAAGTACTGCTGCATATATGCGTATGCATGTATATACTCATATATCCACACGGGTATGTGACAAGAGATCGTAATTCGCCGCGCTGATGGGCGTCGCGTGCGACGTCGCGCCCGCAAATGACGATGGTTCCAGGTCGTAGATGGCGACAACAGGCAATTCAGAACCGAAATAGTCATGAATGTCTACGATGACGGGGTCTACATGAAGTCCGGTGCTCCAGTCGACAGGTTAACACGAGTTAAGAAAACGCCGCGCCCATCGCCGCGGGCGGCGGAGCGGCAAATTACGACTTCAGAAATGGCAGAAAACCGTCTGGGGAAGGGCGCTCGGCTGTCAACTTTATTGATTGACACATCCCGTTCAGCTTTCCAAATGTCCGTCGTAATGCAGTCCCTGATCTTCCGACAATGAAAATGTCGTCGATATATCGTCCGAAGTACAGAACTCCAGACGCCAAGGCTGCTCTTTCGAGGCTATCCATAAATATAATCGCAAGCAATGGTGCCAATCGGCTTCCCATAGCGAGTCCCCTCGTCTGCTTGTAATAGATATTTCTGAAGCGAAATATGTTCACCCTAACCACGTTTCGAAGGAGCTCACCAATGTCCTCGACATCGAGCCAAAAAGCTGGAGTTGTTGGTGGTGGAGGCGTAAAAGACGCATACAGGCCTCTACAGCTCTTTGTACGTCAACATTGGTGTAAAGTGCAACAACATCAAAACTTTCGTATTCCAACCGTGGTTTATCGCAGAAGTTGCACTGTCGTAATTGCTCCAGGAATTGCTTCACGTTCTTGAGGTGATGGTGAACATATGAAAGCAGGGGACAGAGGATGCGCTGCAGAAACCAGCTTATTCTGTCCGTTGGACCGCCACAGGATGCCACGATTGGCCTTGTTTTAATGGACCCGAGGTCCACCACATCGCCATGCTCACTTCTGACCAACTTATGCGTTTTACACAAGTTGGTAATAAGTTGGTACACTTGCGTACTTCAGTAGCAGTTGATCCAGAGTGCACTTCTATAGCTTCTGACGGAGAGTTCTTCTTGTAGGAGGTGTGGATGCGCTATATCGGAGAAACAGGAAGTCCAGTCGCTGAACGTATTGAGGAACACCTAGCGGGCATGAGGCGCAGTAAGCGACAGCATGAAGTCCAATGGTGCATATTCGACAAAAACTTCACATAACATACAACCACACTGGCGCAAGGAACAAGACTGCGGCTAGGGAGTCATTAGAACGTTCTGGATTTCTGACAGACTTCCTCGTGTGGCAACCAAAGACGAGCCTCCGCCAATTTCCAATGAACGCTTGCCATTCATATCGTATTTCGAGCTGTGAAGTCATCAGTGCTATCTGCGCCACGTTCCGATACGTATAGAGGACCACTAACCTAAGATAGGTCTCATTAGCTACAGTTCAAAGACTTTCCCCGCGATCAAGTGGTCCTTAAAATAGCTCCGTGCCTTTTGAACTGTTGTACGTGTTCATAAAGAACATGCCACTTTCATCCCTCAATACAGCGCGATAAAGAAGTTAGAGAGATTTCCGCGTGGCGGCAGAGGCAACATCATACTGTAGGTGGACGAGGCCACGGCTCGCGAGCAGATTCTATCCCTACAACACCCGCGCGGCACGTGTCGCGCGCGGCTCTTCTGGCACTTTGCCATCTTCGGTGATCCGCGCTTTCCATAGCGATTAAGCGCAAACCTCGCACCGTTGGACATAAATTGAAGACGCTTAGGCTGTTTTAGGGTTCCATAGTCTTTGCAAGCGCGATTCAATTAGGAGGATGTGAACAAAAGAGCAGCAAACCTTTCTTGGTTTCATACTCTGCAAGCGATGGGAAGGACGTGATCTGAAGAGCAGGTAGTTCGTCTTCCGTACTCATGGCAAGAGGAAGGATAAGAAATGAAGAGCAGTTAGTGTGTTTTTCAGACTCACCTAATGATCTTTTAGATGGGACCACTATCCAATTGTTACTATTCCTTCTTCCGACATCAGGCCAGTTTTACTACCGAGCTTTTTCTTTAAAAAAGCTGGAAATTTTGTTCCATAGCCTCAGCCTCCGAACATCAATATCGCATCGCTTGGCCAGGATTTGCCTGGCACTAACGCCACGGTCCCACGGCTCAAGCTTTGCGCTCCAATCGCTATGGAGAGCGCGTCCTTCGCGCCCGACGTACTCGTCCAAGACTGCTGGGGTGAAGTCTGTGTTCAAGGTGTTCCCGAAGGTTTTTTCCGCTTCTTTTTCTACTGAGGAGCTACCTATGGGATACTGGTTCATGACGGAGCACCAACTACCCGCAACACTTGATCGCGGGAATTGTCTTTAAACAGCGGACTACTCCGCGTTTACTGTGGAAGAACAGAAGTTAGCGTTTCTTCTGCGTTGCGCAAGGGCCTTGACTGGGTTAAACTATAGGAAATGCTGGAGTGGATCGGGTGCTCAGCGGTATAATGCACATCTCTTCGACTCGAAACACTTTTAGGTTTCCGAAGAGGATGATTACTTCGGAAAGGTAGCCCGTTAAATGAACTGTCTAATACCTCGAAAGGCACAACGTCACACATTGCTGGTAATCGGATCGTGTCTGAGAACCGAATCCTGCGTTCTTGAACGTGGATTTGATTTTGTGCAACCAGTATAGTGTAGTTTACTGCGGACGGTTGAGCGTGTCAGGCTTGTTGAATCAAGCAAATGATATGACTGTGTCACATCGATCGTATTTGTCGCATGCGCACTTCAACTATGAACAGTTTTGACGGTGTGACAACTCGTACTGCCTGGCACGCCCAGCCGTCCGCAGCGAACTGAAGTGCACATATACCGACACCAGAGCAAGGCTTAGCATCCGTCATGTAAAACACAGCGAAAAACACAGCGTGTTCTGGGACTGCAGAGGGGGGGGTCGTAATTTGCCGCGAGGATTTTTTCTTAGTTATTGATTTTTGCTTTGCCCACGCGTTACACCCTGCCTCCCCCTCTGATGGTTGGTCGGAAGTGTAGAGAACTAATCAGAGCGGAATTTAGTCAGCGTTCATACTTCGCGATGAGCGCGTTACAGCGCATCGACGCGCCTCATCGTAAAGTATGAACGCTGACTAAGTTCCGCTCTGAGCTGCTGTGTTTATTTACTCAATTCGATATGATTGTTAGCTCAGTTCAACTAACCTTCCGTGTTCTAACAAGTTGCTCGGATGACCCTTTTTGACCTTGGCAACGTGTTGTACAGTGTTTCGTGAGGAAGTTACCCGCTTGCAATAACAGTAGCCTAACTAGCATCTGGGGATTGGGACAGAGGACGCGCGACCAGCTTCTGCTGGGACTAGTGTGGATCTGAACGATTGCTGTCCTTACGTGTATGGCCCAACATCCGCTAAGGCTGCGTTTATACTTTGCGGCAGCGTAGCGTAGCGTAGCGCAGCGTAGCGCTAGCTTCCAGCGTACGCCAGCGGCAGTGCCGAAGAGAGGATGCATATCGATCTAGCTTCACCAGCGTCACCAGCGGCACGCTAGCGCACGCTGGCGTAGCGAGGGCACGGGAAGCATAGCTATCGATCTAGCTTCACCAGCGTCTCGAGGTGTCTCCAGCGCACCAGCTTTGCATAGCGCTCGCGCAGGCAGGGAGTAAGACTATGGCTGAGAGATGCGAGCGAATCGA